TGGCATAGTCTCATTTTGTCTTTAATATATATTATTCTATATTGATATGATCAAAATAAAATATTCCCCTAGAAAAATTCACTACAATTTATATTCATTAGGATTAAAAAAACATTTCCCCTTCTCCAAATAATTCTTTCATAATATTCTCTTTTTTTCTTAAAAGGGCAGAATAATTGCTATTATCTTTAAACAACATGCAAGTGTTCCTCTACCCGCTCCCAGCCCCACTCCAGAACAGGGTTTCTCTGTAGACCATGCTGGCCTTGAACTCACAGAAATCCATCTGCCTCTGCCTCCGAAGTGCTGGAATTAAATCATGTGCCCACATTCCAATTTAAGAATTCCTTCTTGCCTATAAAGCATATTTCAAATTAAAAATGAAAAAAAAATTCAGAACTACCTATGAGGTTCAGATGGTGCGATCTATAATGCAAACTTTAAATTTCAAGCAAAGCACAAGCAATTCTTTCTCTGTTTCTTGTCTGCCACAGTGAGAGCAGCTCTGCTCGCCCAGGCTCTCCTCGCCACACCAGACAGAGACCTCCGAAAGCATGAGCTAAATAAAACCATTCTCTCCTTAGCTGCAGTGCAGCACTGGGAGTCTAACACACACAGGAAACAGTATGAGACAAGAAGACTGACTGCTGTGGCCGTTCCTGAGAAACCTGAGGGCTGGCTTGCAGGATGAATCTGGAGAGGCTGGGGCTGTAAGCTAGAGGAGCTCCAGGACGCCCTAAGTCTAGCTGGTGGGTTAGTACAGGAGGATCTCAGGCAGTGGACCATGGATGGGAACAAGAGCGGTAAGCACTGAGCATCAGGCTGCAGGCACAGAGCAAGACTGCTAGGAACAGGACAAGAAGGCCACACATGTATACTACATTCTGGCAAAGATCATGTCTACATTAAAAATAGTTTTTAGACTTATTTTGTGTGTATGACTGTTTTACCTGCATGTACGGATATGTAGCACACATGTGCCCAGTGCCTGCAAAGATCAGAAGAGGGTGTTGGGAACTGAACCTAGGTCCTCTGCAAAGCCATCTCTCTGGCCCAAGTTCCTGTCTGTTTTATCTATGCTTTTAGATTTTAGAAGAGGTTGAGTTTTAAAATGATAAGCTAAGAAATCTGGCAGAGGAAATGTCACTAGCTACGTTTAGTCCTACTTACAGGAAGAGTTGAGAGCTGAGAGCAAAACTGGACCAGAAGGACTTGAAAACCTTAGTTCTAAACAAGTAGCACATGTAAGGTTCTGAAGAAAAGAGAATGAGTTGCTGAAGGGACAGAGACACACCAAAGTGGCTGAGTACTCTGCACACTTCGGTGTCACCTATCGGATGCTGGTTTTGCAGACATACAGAATGTAAATGTTACGGGGTCAGGGACACTAAGCACGAGTTTCTCAGAAAGCCTAGGAAGACAGGCAAGTATGACAGGGTTGGTGCGAGAGCAGGTGGCCATGGAGGAAACAATGCATCCAACATGAAGGTCCAGCTAAAGACACAAGAGCAGCTAAGGAAGTTAATGCTCCAGGTTACCTGGGACCTAGTTTGAGGGATGCCGTAGGCAATAAACAGAACAATCCCAAGAAAGGCCATCGGGCAACAACGGCAAAGCTATAGAGACAAGAATCCTGTGTCTGTTGACTCTCACATCACGACAGCAGATGCTCAGATACCTGACCCAGATCTACAGAATCTAATAGCTGCCCTTCTGGGCTTTGGTTTTGTCCTATCCCTGTGTTCTAAGCCCTTCCCTTGCTTTGGGAAGGGAACTCTTTAGTCTGTGCCACTATAATCTGGAAATATGTCATTTTCTTTTTGATATTGCAAGGGTTCACAGCTAAGAGTTTGTCCTGTGTCTCAGAGGAAATACTGAACTTCAACTACTGAACAATACTGGAACTGTTAAGGTTGAGGACAGATGGATTGGATGCATTTTGCAAGATGAGCCAGGCCTTGAGGAGTGGAAACGGAAGGTAATGGCTTAAAGAGACTTGCTGAATATCAAGTTGGCAAGGACTGGACACACACACAGGCAGCAGCATCCCCTACAGGCTGCAGGTGCAGGCAGAATAAAAAGTGGAAAGAACAGCAAGCCTGCAAACGCAGACATTCTCTCTGCCTTCTGGCTGCCTTCCCGTGAGCTTCTAGTCCTTTATGCTCACAACACAACAGACTACAACCATTAACCAAAAATAAATCTTTCCTCCCTAAAAGACATGAGAAGTAAAACACCAAGCAATTGTCTCTTACCAAAGAGTGGTAGTTTTAGACTAAAAAGTTTCTTATAACCCAGAAAATGACTTAACTGGCTAATTGTTTAAACCAACTTCCCTCCCCCATCTCTACTTGTTTCAAATCTGCATGCTTTACTTTCAGTCAGACTCTATGTCCTGAAAGCTCAAGTATTTAGAGGTATGTGTAATTTCTCACATGTAGTCTGGAAAAATTATGTTTGTGTTGGTATAGCTCTATAGACATAAGGAGAGAACAAGCCTTGGAAGACCACAGGGTTGGAGTTGACAAAGGAACAGTAACAGATGAGTCTGAAGGAAGGATGGGATACGGTGCTGTTTGCACTATTCTTACTCCTGCAAAACTGCTTCAGTTTGAAAGTATTATCAAGTAGAAAAGAAAACTAAGCGTGTACATCCTTCAAGAACAGGACATGCTTTTTTCTCTCTCCCTCTGTTTATCCATCAAGCTCATGTGACACACAAGAGCATAAAGACAATGGCATAAGCTCTGACTTTCAGTAAGAAAATCACACTAAATATATTTTAATGAAGAAATCAACCAGGCCGAACAAAAGAAACTGAAAGAAAGCATCTAAGCACCAAAATACCTATTAATCTTGGCTTCTTAAGAAAAACAAGTTGGGCTGGTGTGATCAGCAGTAGAATGTGCTACCACCATGCATAAGACTCTGGGTTCTACACCTAGGACCACAAAATAAGAAAAGCAACAAGAACAGGTTTCAGAAAGACACATACTCAAACAACAACAGTGCAGCATCCAGCAGAGCTACAGGGACCTGACAACTGCTGTTGGACAGACCTGAGTCAGAGACTTTTGAAATGTCTTTTAAATCTGCTTTATTTTATACTTCTCCTACTTCTATTGCCTGGGGACTTTTATCACACTCTTCCCAACCTTGTCATAGAGTATGCAGAAGATCAATTACTGGGACTCTACATACACTGCTTGAATTGTTGGTCATAGTGTCTCTGATCCATGTACTCTCAGTCACAGCAGGTAAGGGCTAATGTGAAGCCCACTCCATGCCAAACTTAGCACTATCGTGGCTACTCTGTCTAAAAATGAAAAGACAGAGACAGAGAGAGATAGAAACAGACATACAGACACAGACAAAGAGAGACAAGAGACAGACAGACAGACAGACTGACTGACTGACTGACTGACTGGAGAGGCAATAACTAACAGTTTATTTAACCGAAAATGCATGTTTTTATGATGGCAAACATAACTTATAGAAAAAAATACCAATTATCTGTTTTGTAGATTTGTCACTATTAATAAAAAAAAAAAATCACAGGAAACCTCATACAAAACTAACTACAGTAGTTTGCAATGGTCCTACAGAAATAGAAAACACACAAAAAAAAACCATTGCAGCTCTTGTTTCCATTAGAAAGTTCAGCCCTTTGACTCCATGACAAACTTCAGTGTGTTTCTGACAGGCCGCCAGCCTAGGAAAGCTTCCACGTCATGCGGACACAATCAAAGGAGTCCTTCCAGCACACACCTGAGTAAGGCTGTGGAGCCTCACTTTAAACCCTAGCTCGAGCATACACTGGTCTTTTGGCAAGTGACTTATCTCCACTGGCTTCAGTTTTCTAATGTGGAAAATAAGGATAACAGTACCTACCTTGGAATTGTGAGAATGAAGCTGACGCATGCAGTGATTACAATGAGCACCATATAGATTAGAGCGACCCAGATTAAAAATACCAGCTTTCACAGGAGACTGTTGAGACTTGGGAGGTTATTAACTTTCAGAACCTCAATCTCCCTTGCTAGTAAGTATTCTAAACCTATTCTAAACTATAATAACCACTCATCTAGAAAACACTTATAATTACCTAACTCCTGACTTAGGACAGACACATTTGCTCTGGAAATAAAGTTTTGTATTTTACAACCAAGGATAAGCCCACTCATGATCTCAAGATACAATGACTTCTAACAGATCCAAGCCAAGGTGACTGACTACCAAATTTCCACGGCACATGGTCATCCGTGAGCCTGTTTCACAGAGCTACACCATGGCTAAGCCACTGATTCACTTCAACAGAAGCCTAGAAGAGCTCAGAGCTGTGGATAGACTCAGTAACAGTCCTCTACAATTCTAAAACCAATTAGGAAAAACAAATGCTAACATCATTCCAAGGGAATAAAAAATGATCTGAACTCTTAGAGACTATAAAATATAAACCATATTACTTTATTTATATTTTAAAACAGTATAAAATTATACTCCATTTTTAAAAAGCTTACATAGTTTCTGCAAGTTCTCTTTTTCTAAGAAACAGATTATTTATTTTTGTTTTTTAAAAAAAGGCTTTCTTTGTATAGCCCTGGCCATTCTGAAACTTGCTCTACAGAGCAGGCTATCCCAGAAGTCAGAGCTTCACCTGCCAGGACTAAAGGCATGCACCACACCGCCATCCAGCTTTAAGAAACACTTTGTTAGACTAGCAGCTGGACCTTAAAGCTATTGTAAGTGTTCTGGCAAACAAAATCATTTTGGTTTCGTGACTTTTTAAAAGCCATAGTAACTCTTACAATTGTCCACAGCTGTAAAAAGAGGAAGTACAAGTGGAGCTGTAAGCTCACAGGACAGCAGCTGTGTGATGACACCTCCAGAGCCCACCAAGGGACCTAGGAAGACTGAATTCAGAAGGAAAGATTTTGCACGCACTATTTATGTTTTAGAACTCAAAGCAAAGTTAAGTGCAAAGCAGTCAAATAAAATACCTCTCATAGATGGTCTTTAACGTCATCTGGTCAGGAATACCTTCAGTCTCTTCCAGATACAGTATGAGCCAGGATGTCCGGTACGGCCACTGCTCGGTAAGGTTGATCCAGCTGGCTAGCCTGTCCCAGTTGAAAGTAATCTGATTGGCTCTTAGTAGCCGTCCTTTAACAAATACATAAACATTTAAAAATTAATAGACATACTAAGCAAAATGTTTAGCATAGTCACAAATAATATTTAAAATTTGAAAAAATTGCCATTTGGCTATAATACAGATTTAAATCAAGTATTTATATATGGTTTCTAAAATCCAGGTTTTAAAGATTTAGTGGCAGACATCAGTAATCCTGGCACACAGGAGGCTGAAGTAGAACAGGACAAGTCTGGAGGCCAACCTGAGCTACACAGTAAGATTGTCTGAAAAAATAAACCAACAAACAAAATCAAACACCACGGTAGTCCTCAATGCTGACTGCTAAGGACCTCTCTGGGACCTCAATGGAACCCAAACATACTGGTCAGACTTTGATTTATGGCTTAATTCACTTCCCTTCTTACTTACTGAGGTAGATCATGTTACAATGTATTAAAACCTGTTGTCTACTCATTGTAAAGTGAGCCTGTTTGTAGGGTGTTCAGAGCACTCCTCAGAGCATGCTCACTTGGGGACAACTGCAACTGGCAAGGCTTCCTTCCAGTGTTTTGTCACCTTCACCTTGACAGACCACAAGCAGCTAGGTTCTTAAGTGAAAACAGCAGCAGTTATTTACCAGAATTATCAGGTCAGTCCATACCTGGACCCACGTCTACTTGTCTGACAGGCCCTCGTGGGAATCCTGCTGTCCCGCTCTTCACTGTACAGATGACTCCTCATCCAGCTCTTCCCCGGCCTCAGACCCTCACTCTGCATTCTCACCACTGACCTTCCTGGAAGGTGGGTCTGCTCTGCTGGATGGATGACAGGATGCAGCGACTCTTCCATCCCATAGGATGTGAGCTATGTTACAAGCTATGGACTTACCATGAACACTAACTCTGGGGAAAAACCCAGAAGAGAACAGATGGTACAGTCACAGCCTTCCTGAAAAGCATTCACCTAGCAAAGCAGAGGATAAATGCAACAAACAAACGACAATCTATGAAATAACTAGGTGAACATTTAACTACATGTGTGGGGGGGGCAACAAAAATGAAAGGCTGAGCACTAAAATAAGCTTGACAATACACTTCTTTAGCTGAGTTTGGGGTTTTCAAAACACAGCATCTCATGTTGCCTGGCTGGCTCTGACTTCCTGATTCTCCTGCTTCCACTTCCTGAGTACTAGTTTTACAGATGTAAACTTCCACATCCAACTCACTAAGTTGCCCAGGCTGACCATGAACTTGAGATCTCCGGCCTTAGCCTTGTGAGTAGCTAACATTGTAAGTCTGTGCCACTAGGCCTGGCTAGCATCAATTATTTAAAGGTATCAACTCAGGTCTCTTTGGAGTACCTGAAGATGTCTCAGTAATCTAAATTTCTTCCTTCCTGTGGGCTGAGGAGGTGTAAGGCCTCGAATGAGCTGCAGCTCTCTAACCCCACTTCACACCACTCTGTTCCTCCAACTCCACCCAGGCTGGCACTCTAGCTGCTCCTGGACTCCAGCTCACAGCCTTTGCATTGCTGTTCTTCTCTCAAGAAGCATGTAAAGGGTGGTTCTAATTTCATTCAGGTCTCTTATTCATTCACAATCGATTCCAGATGCTGAAGTGGGTACTGTAGCTAAGCAGATCAGACAAAGACCCTTGCATGAGGGTCTCCTTTTCCAGAGAGCAGATAGACAAAGACAGTGTGTGTCGGAAGACAGCTGGTCTGTGGAGTTGTTCCACGAAACATGGAAGGAGGAGGCAGAGTCGTGTCATTTGAGATCCAGGAAGGTTTCATGGAAAAGCTCACATGTAAGCTAACACGTAAAGAATTGAGAAAACCCACTGTGCAGACTCATGACAGGCCATGTTAATGGAAACTGGTCAAGATACAAAGTTGAGCTCCAAGAACTGTAGTCAACAGCAGGCCAATGTTAAAGAGCACGAGGAAACAAAGCATTAACTCGCAACAGTTAGGAGGGAAAGTCACTGCTACATCTGCTGGTGGGGTCCAGGTAAGGAGGGGCCCTGGCCCTGCATGTTCCATGCAGGAAGTCGGGAGGACTGGTGGGAGAACAGTAGGAGACAGGGCAGTGCACTCTACCAAGGAGCTTTGCTGAGAGCAGAACGAGGGCCAAGGCAGGGGAGAGCCAGGAGAAGTTCCAGGAAAAGGAAGGCCACTTGAGTGAGAGGGGTGCTGCCTTACTTCATGTTTAACTTCTACAGTGTCCAGACCAACTCTCGGCATAAGGAGGATGATAAGACATACTGTCAAGTGAGTATGTCAGTGTTATCAAGAAACAGTTCCTCTGTTGAACCAGCATGGGAAGGTTGAAGTCTCATTTAAAGAGATTTAACTACAAAAATGTTACCTTAGGTATGACCCCACCTATAATGCAGTTTATGTCATGAGCTCTAAACTTAGAATAAAATGCAATTCCAGTTGACAGAGTCAACACTAGGAAATAACAGAAGATACCAAGCAATAACATGCAAGGAAAGAAACACATTCTATAAGTTAAGCTGCAAGTGTGTCTATGACTGCTCTAATGCTAATTAGTCTTAACATACAGAAGAGAAGCATCCACACAAAGAATTCAGTCACAGCAAAAGCTCTTTTTTGGGGCATGGGGCAGGCTTGGGAGGGTTCGAGACAGGGTTCTCTGTGTAACTCTGGTTGTCCTAGAATTCACTCTGTAGACCACGCTTGCCTTGAACCTGATCAGAGATATGCCTGCCTCTGCCTCCAGTGCTGAGATTAAAGATGTGTGCCACCACTGCCTGGCTAAGAGTCTCCATTGTATTATAAACATATTTATTCAAAATATCATATAAAAACTAAAATAGCATAGCAATATATAAAATCTGAATTTCAGCACAAATATTAATTGTGCTCAATTATATGAATTACATAAATTTAGCCTAAATATAAAGCAAATTACCTTTAAAATCATGAAATTTTAAAATAAATTTCCAAGTGCCATTAGATTGTCAACTACTATTACAACTACTACTGTCAACTATTACTACAAACAAAGCTTATGCTTTTAAAAGTGCACTGTCAACTTTAAAGCTCACAGTGGTAGCTGAGGGTACAACTCAATAGCAGAACGTTCACAGAGCTTGCACAAGTCCTAGGTTCAATGCCTGCTATCTCAAAGAACATAAACAAAATAAAACTTATTATCACAGAACATGAAAAACAAAAGTCACCTGTCACAGAAACAATATTGAGTAACCGTCTCATGGTCTGAGGACTGATGTCACTGAACCAATCCTCAGTGACCAGCAGCTTTGTGAGATCGAAGGACATCTGTCTCGTGATGGTTCTCTGCATCTGTCTTCTGCGGTAAGTATCCTGAAACAACAGCACCAGTAAGAGAGACATACCCATCCTTGACAGTTAACGTGTATGCTTATGGTAAGAACATCAAAACAGACTGCAGAGACAACTCAGTGAGTGAGAAAAGCAGAGTTCACAATATTAACCAGAGAGAAAGGTTACAGGCTAATCAAGTGCTGTTACTTCTGAGGCAGCAGACACTCTCCAGAGCAGTTGCACAGTAGAGTTGGCAGGCAGGCATCCCATGTGTACTGACAGCTATACAGTTAGGGAAAACCTAATGTCTCAGATAAGAAGTGCACAGAACTCTATAAAGAGAATCACGGTCAAGCTCCATGAAGCCTCTGTACTAGGGAACCATAAAACAAAGCGGGTAAGTTCCTTCATGGTGCTAGGGATTCAGCATCTCTATTTTTAGGTTGTTTTAAAGTTACACGATTTTATCCCAGGCACAGCCACTCTTAACTTTCCCCGAATTTTCTCAAAGAGTTGAAGGCACTCTGAAGAGTAGGCTGAAGTGGATAAGGAATCCCATTCCTAAGAGAAGAACAAACACAACAGAGGCATATTCCCCTGAGCCCTGAAGCATAGGAAAGGTTGATGAAACCACAGGCTCCCAAGAACCTGGACTGCCAAGGGAGAAATTCAAAATGCAAAATCACACATTCCCCTGACTTTGGCTATATCATCTGTCATTCATATTAACTCTGAATTCATAACCTGTAAAGCATGTGAGCACAAAGCCAAAGGTTTAAAAAGTAATGTCCAAATGGTAGCAAACATGAAAACAGGCAATGCCAGTATAAGCCCATGTCAGCCATTCATAAGTGACATTACCAGGAAAGCTCTTCTGCCAGTGGTCATCTTCCCACATTACAAGCCTAGATAAATACACCTAGTTTTGCTCTACAAACAAGATGGATAGACAGAGAGACTGAAACACTGAAACAGAAAGCAAGGAAACTGGGAAGGGCCCAGAATCACATGTAGGTATGCAGACTACAATCCAGACCTTGCAAATGTTGGGAGGAAAAACCTAAAGAGGTAAAAGTAGGGCAAGCACCTGCTCAGGAACGAATGTGAGCCGTGATCATTTGCTGGCTAGGAAATCTCACTACTGGAGGAGCAGAGTCAGCGCCTGATCTGGGAAGAGGCTGCAGAGGAGGGGGACTCCTCCCACATCAAGGTCCTTACCCTCCAGGCAGCTCTGAGGCAGCTGACACTGAAAGGGATCTCAGCACTGACACTGATCTCAAGAGCTTAACATCGTGTTTACAGAAGAACATTAGGTGTCACTAACTTGATTTTATTTGAATGACTGCTAAAAAAAATAAAAACCAGAGTCAGAGTATAGCCGAGTGGCAGAATACTTGCCTAGCATGCGCAAGGCTTTGGGTTCAACCCCAACAGTCTAAGGAAAAAATCAATCACACCATTAAGTTAATGACACGAATGGTACCTTACCCTTCTGTTGAGAGCTGTTTTGCTACCAAGCTTTGTCATCTCCCCAAGGCTGTTCTGTGAGACTCTTCTGTCAGCATCCTCCTGTACTCCTGGAAGAAAGCATTGATACAGCACTGTGGTGGTTAAAATGAGTTTCTCCCAGAGCCTCAGGTGTTTGAAAACTTGTCCCACTTGATGGTGTTGTTTGGGGAGGTTTGGGGATGAAGCTTGCTGGAGGAAGTGTGTCCCTGGAGAAGGGTTTTGAGAGTTTGAAGATGCATACCATTTTGTGTTTGCTCTCTGTTTTCTGCTTGCAGTGTTAAATGTGAACTCTCCACTTGCTACTCCAGCTGTCATGCCTTCCATCATGCCTGCCCACTGCCACACTCCCCTGCCATGATGGTGCTGAACTCTTATCCTTTTGGAACCACAGCTAAATAAACCCTTCCTTCGACAAGGTGCCTTGGCTACGGTGCTTCATCACAGCACTAGAAAAATCCCAATCCAAGTACCATGTGTGCACAGTTGTTTTATGTGATATTAAAGAAATGTAAAACAGAAAAAATTTTCAAGGTAAAGAGAAACTATAAAAAACCTCCCAGACTACTTCAAGCTTGAGTACTCCAGGGCTTGATGCTTACCTGTGGTATCTGAGCACGAAATGTCCCCATTTGTTGCTGAAGTTACAAGAAATTTTCTGGCATTGCTAAGCCCACGACTATTAAGGAAAACTGGTAAATGAACTATATTGCGCATATAGTCGTGTCCATTTATATTTGAATCACGAAGCACACTATTCAGGTTCTGGTTGATGGCCTTTATAATAATATGTGGATCACTTGCAAAAATGGCAATAAAGGGGCCCTTTGAAAACAGAACTCGGACCTGTGGTAGAAGAAAGGTATGAATATGACACAAATTTTAAAATTATACAAAAAATACCTTTTTAAAATCTGTACTATCCTTTGGTGCTGTATTTTTTGTTTTGTTTTGTTTTGGTTTGTTTTTGGTTTTTCAAGACAGGGTTTCTCTGTGCAGCCCTGGCTGTCCTGGAACTCACTCTGTAGACCAAGCTGGTCTCGAACTCAGAAATCCGCCTGCCTCTGCCTCCCAAGTGCTGGGATTAAAGGCGTGCACCACCACCGCCCGGCGGTGCTGTATTTTTTAATATCAATCATTTTTCATCAAGATTTATTCTCTATAAAAACAACTTTTATAGATGGGTCAATCTTAGGTTTTTATCATCTACCAATGACGCAACCAACAAAGAGAACAGTTAATGTGGTTTCCCCCTCAGACACCTACAGCCTACACAAAAGTAAGAACAACACACAAGGCAATTTTCTGTGAGCACATGTGAGTTCTGTACACTCAGTTAAGCACTGTTGTTTATAACAAGCCTCAGATTCCCAGTATTCTGCTTTAACACAACACTAAAATTTCTATGGGTTCCCTCTGTCATTACAGAGTACAAACATGACTGTCTGCACAGCTGAGCCACACTTGTCATTTAGAGATGCTCCATGTGAGTTTTTGCTGTGTTTTTCCCTAAAGTGCCATCAGGCTGAAATGATTTAACTGTTCTTGATCAAACATTAACTTTTGCTATAATTCTGAATTTTAAAATATAGTTCTTATGAAAGAGAGATTCACTAAAGAAAGCAGTGTTTCTGAAATAAGAAGCACAGGACTGAGATATTTTGTGAACTTATGCATCCTACGTAAGCACAGTGACAAGTCTGGAGACAGCTGAAACGTACAGTGTCCAGCATCTGAAGGACTTTATCTTGCTCACAGGCATCCAGACCGTCAATGATAACCACCAGCCTCGTCTGGTTTTGAGTGAAGCTGTCAATGGTTTTGGCCATCCTGGCCATCAGCTCCACCTCACACTTCAGGACCTGCACAAAGCACAGAAGACACTAGACGGTAAGGCACATTCCTTTAGAAGCACAAGAGAAACCTATCCAATGGGAAGAAAAGAAACCCAAAGTTCTTCCATTTTACACCTGTTGCAGGGGTTTCAGTTATGGACTGATAACACTCGACACTCAGGATGTCATCAGCGGATGCTATGATAGGAATCTGCAGACTACAGAAGAGGTTGAGAGACTCACCTGCCAAAACTATCGACTCTGAATGACAAAAGTCTTGGATTTCAATTCCACCCAAAACACCTACTGATGGCTGCACTACTCTTGGCTCCTTGGTGGCATCTAGTTTTTAACAAAGTTAAATATACTCATGCTATAAGGTTTAGTAATTATAATTCTTGGTATTTACTCAAAAGAGCTAAAAACTTACATCTACACAAAAACCTGAGCACAGATACTTACAGCAATTTTATTCATAACTACTAAAATTTAAATCAAGATATAGTTCTGTGGGTAACTGAATAAATATACACTCCTCATCCAGGCAACAGTATTATTCAGGCCTAAAAAGCAATGAAATTTTAAGCTATAAAAGGGATGAGAGAAGGCAATATGAAAGGGCTACATACTGCATGGCTGCAAGTACATGACATCATGGAAAAGATACAGATACTGAGATAGTGAACTCATTAGGGTGTGACAGAGGTTGGGAGAGACAAAGGCTGAACAGGGGAGGCAGGCACTTTCATGGCAGTAAACATACTATAATCTTGGGTATGTTATCAAGCATTTGTGCCAATCCAAAGAAGGCACAGCACCAAGACTGAACCTATTGTAAACTGTGGACACTGAGTTTGACTATGACAGACCAATGCAGGACCATCACTGAACAAATGTAGCGCTCTGTGGACAGGTATTGATAACAGATGCTGTGCACAAGACACATGGAGTATATGGATTTTCCTATAAGCCTAACCAACTAGCTAAATTAAATCAAATGCAACAGACTCGGGCATCCGGCTGAGTGGTAGGGTACTTGCCTCGTATGCACAAGGTCCCGGGTTCAGTCCCTACCACTGAACAAATAACAACAAAACAACAACAAAACCTTAAATGTAACTCTCTAACATCTTGAGAGCATGCCCAAGTCAGCATGGCGACAACAGCAGTCCCATTGCAGGTTTTCTAATGATAAGTGCTTACTTTCATGAATCCTTCACTCTTCAGCTTGTGTAATTTGGAGGCAGCACTATGGAGACGCTTTCTCTGAGAATTCAGGAGAGAGTCCAGCACTTGCCACCATGTCCGACAGTTCAGCACAAAGGCCAACCCCACGACCGACACAACGGAGATGAGGACCGCGTTCACCGTCAGGTGTGTTGGGTCAACTCTGAATATAGCCAAAAGAGTAATTCCAGCAATAATGCAGCCAATAATAAAAAGAAAGATGATAAAAGATGGGAGACAGCATGTTTTTTTCCATTTCTTTTTACCTGTAGTAGGATAAATCATATTAACAATTATTACCACATCATGTACTCAGAATATAGTAATCTTTTTGGTCAAGAGGATTTGATGACTCTAAGGTTCAACTCATGGTCTCATGAAGATAAATGAACATTTATTCCCTTCCTCACCCCTAGAAACATTCCAAGAAGGAAGGCAGAGGGGAAAGAAAGTAGTCCTACCCTGAGTATCTTCAGTCTTGAATACTCTAAAAAGCCGGGTAGCCAAAAAGCCGAATTCTCTCTCACATGCATCGGAGAGGGTCGCAATCATCTCAGCCAAGGAAGTTTCTCCTCCCACACTGGAGAGTCTATTGTAATCTGTAAACAAGAACCTTGGGGGAGACCAAGCGGGATGTTACTCGACTACTGAATGCAGCAATTCCTAACATCCGCATGACATCTCTATCAGTTATTCTGCATTTCCTTTTTTCTAAAGACAGTGCATGTTTCTTCCTTTAAAAGTTATTTTAAGTCTACGTACCACATGTATCCCTGGTACCCACAGAAGGCACAAGGGGAAGTCTGATCCCTTACAAGTGGATGTACAGACATCTGTGAAGCACCATGTGGTGTGGGAATCACACCCAAATCCCCCATAGAAGTCTGTTCTCTTAACGCCGAGCCATCTCTCCAGACCCCAACTACTCTATATTTTTTTTTGATGTTCTTTTCAAAAAAACTGCTTTTAAAGTTCTAAGGGAGTGGAACAGATGTGTGAATAATTATCTTCTCCTCTGAGCATGTTAGAGATTCTCTTAGCAAACACATGAATGTGTTAAATGTGTGTGACTGGCCAATGGGAAAAGGGAGAGTGACGGCAGAGCTTGGCCTGTGTCAGAACAGGGGCAAAAGAGAAAGTGCTCCAATACCAGCTGGGGCGGTCAGAGCAGGAGAGTCTTTACTACAGACAGGAATTCCAAACCCAAAATATCATTTAGAACCAAGGTTTCTGCTGGAGGGATGGCTCAATGGTTACACCGGCTGCTCTTCCAGAAGACCAAGGTGTAGTTCCCAATACCCACACGGCAGCTCATAGCTGACTGCAACTCTAAGTCCAGAGACCTAACATCCTCATCTGAATTCCATACATACTGCATGCACACAGTGCACAGACATACATGAGGCAAAACATATGCACACACAAAATAAAAATAAATAGATCCTAAAAAGTAAAAGTAAATAATATTCACTTCATGATTAATGTGTGCACGTGTGCATGTGCGTGTGTTTATGTACACACTGTATGTATACCTGTGGAGGCCAGACAAGGGTTTCAGAACCCCTGACGCTGGAGTTACACGTGGCCGTGAGTCACCCACTGTAGGTACTGGGAACGAACTGAAGTCCTCTGCAAAAGCAGCAGCACTTCCAACCACTGAGCCACAACTCCAACTTCAAAAACTTTCCTTTAAAACTTCTCAGCTTTGAATCTTTGTAATGTTTATTTACATGCGGATTACAATGGTTCCTTTATTACACCTCTTTCCTCATGATTCCCTGTTGGAGATGCTCAATAATTTTAGACACACATGTCTATTTGCAGAAATGAGGAAAGAGTAGCTCAGTGTGAGAAGGGTTTCCAGGGTTACTGCTCCTTCAAGGAGAAGCTAGGCCTTCACTGCAGACCTCTTTCTGCCGAGACTCGACCCTCAAGGTCAATACTCCTTCCACAGTATCAGAAAGGATGGTAACAGAGGCAAGGTGTGCCCCAGCATGGAGGCTGACTCCCTGGTTTAAATCCTGGCACTGCTCCCGGAAAAGCCCTAAGTATGTAACAGGTACAAAGAAGAGAAAGAGGTTTCTGTACAAATAAAATACCACAAAAAGAAGCAGATTTCGTCTTGTGGAAAAGTGACCTCATGCACAGGAAGGGGATATACTATGAAGTGTTTTCCAAAGGTACTGGGACATACTTTTGTTTTGTTTTGTTCAACTAAAAGACTAAGGCACCAATATTTTTTGGAATATGATGATCTGTAAAATTCTTGAAACTCTTTTGTTACCCTTATTAAAGATTCCTTCTGTCAAAGGACCAACTTACCTCACAGGCAAAGCCTTTGTAGTTTGCTCTGGTAGTTCAGGTGGGTTCACAAACATCAGTTTGAAGAGGAGCTCCAGGTACCCAATGTGTCTTGCCAGTCTGGTACTGAGAGCCCAGGCCCAGTTCCAACTCTCTCCTTCCTGCCGTCCACCAAAGTAAATGACGACTGCAATTTACAGTTTGAATTAGTTAGGCAGCTTGTCTTCTCTATAGTCAACCCTATGTAACTGTTTATAGTCCATGCTAATTCTTAAATACTCCTCAAAGAATCCCTCAAGTGACCTTCTCAACATACAGGTGTGTGAACCTGGAAACTAAAAACTGGCATTGGAATCAAGCAGAAGCAAAGCCTCGTGAGTCAAGTTGGTAGTTCAGACACAAAGGAGCTGGGTTTTGTCATGTTTACAACTGCTAAAGTTACTATTTCCTTCTATAATAAATCTAGTTCCTTTCTTGCAACTGAAGACAACCCAGAAACAGACTGTTTTGCTTTTCTAGCTTGCTTTCAGAAAAACTAAAAATGCTAGCAATGATTAAATTGTCCAAGAGCTGGCCAGCAACAGCTATGGAGCCGTCCATTCAGCAAGGCCCGCTGAAGTGCAGTGAGTGGTAATGGGGGCCATCACCACGTAACAGATATTGTGTAAGTTAGGCACTAGCGAGGAAATGCACCAGTACTTAACGTCACTCCAGCCAGGGATGTATACTGTTACTCTACCTCAACCAAGTAGAAAAAAGATACATTTTTTAAAGCCAATTATAAAAGTCAATTAGGTTTTTAAGAGAAAGATGTTTTAAGTAACACACACGCAATGTTTTTCTTCATTTAAAAAAAAAAAGATTTTAAAAAACAAAGACTTACTGAAGAATATATATAGGAGAGCCAGGAGACTCAGTGAGACTGCTATGGCGAGGTTTGTATCCACTGTAAAAGCAAACACTAGGCCGAGCCCGCCACACAGCAGCAGGGTGAGGAACACTATAAGCCATGAGAACTGGAAAAGGGGCTCGATCTGCTGTCCTGCAAATGTCTTCATTTCATCTGAAAGGAAGATCAGTGTGAAGTTTTATTTGTCTTGCTTAGATGTAACTTTTAACTCACTCTTTAACTTTCCTGTTTTAATATAAATTTGTGCTGGGCACTTAAGAAGCGCCTTAGATAATCCTGCTGCTGCTGTGCTTAATCATTTAAACTGACATTTTCTTTTAATCAGTTTGAGTTCTGGTCCCCACTGCACACCTAGCCCTGTCCTTCCCCACAGTCTGCTTCATACTGAAATGCATAGACCTCTTTTCCCCATTATTGTCATCTGCCGAGACTTTGCTGATCTTGGCTTGTATGGTTTGTACTAAATGAGATACTGTTCTCATAAGCAACAGCAGAAACAGTACTCTCTCCCAACATCAGCACTGCTCCTCAGATCCCCTCATCCTGACTGGGGTTCTCAAAGATGCACAAAGCTAACAAGAACCATGAGGTCATTGTTTCTACAAAACTTGAGGTCAGTTTCATTTGCAGTACTGAAGCCTGTCCTTGAAGAGCAAGAATTACTTTTAACAGAAAAGGCCTGGTTCATTAACAATGCACTTAGTCCTGACTGCAGCACAGAGCTCACTGGAGGATCTGCACATTGACAAGTGTGGGAAGAATCTAGGAAATGCACTCCCAAGGGCTGTACTCCATACTGGTCCACAGCTGGACCTGATTTAGAAAGAAAACTCATGGGAGAATCGACTAGGAGAGAAATGCCAACCACCGAAGCAGACTGCGTGAAAGACAGCTACTCACAGAGCTTTACTGCTCAACAAGATGCTGTAAAGCATATCAAGGCCTCACAAAGCACGCCTTTACCTTCTAGTTTCTTGAGTAAGAACGACTTCCCACTTCCCCACTGTGCATACAAGCCCACACAGATGGGTGGTTGCATGGTGGGCTCACTGAGAATGTCTGCCAGGGCGCTGCTATACAAATCATAACCAAGCATGTCACCGTCTGTTTCCGTGGGAGACAAGTGTCCTGTAATTAGAAGCATACCACATCCTTACATTAAACTTTGATATAACTGTATATGGGGGCTGGGGGCGGGGGCAACCTTATCTTGAGCATGAGGTTCTTACACAAATACTATTTCGAGGAACATAATACATCTATGATAATATATCTATTAGTTAATGATAAGATACATCATCTTGAAGTACAGCAAAGAAAAGAAGTGCTGGCAAACTATGCTTTCTTCTCTATCACCCATCACATACTCCAGGGCTGGGGACACAGGCCAGCAGTAGAGTACTTGTGGGATGAGCCTTGAGAGCAATTCTTAGAACCATGGACGGGAAAGAAGCACAAGACCACTTCAATTCTAGAAATATTTAAGTACATACACCATAAAGTGTATTACCAAAGAATAGATAATCAAGGACAAAGTAATTCTTTGCAGAAAGGTTTAATGTCTCAGCTACCAATTCCTCCTAAATGAAGACAATTTTTTTTTTAAAGCCATGAGCATATTGTTTTAGATGAAAAGCCAAGAAGTAAGCAGAGCTGGAGACAGCTCAGGAGTTAATAGGGCTTCCTGCTCTTCCAGATGACACAAGTTGGTTCCAGCATCCACACTGAGCAGTCCAGAATGGCCTATAACTCTAGTTCCAGGGGATCCAACATTCTTTTTTTTTTTTTTTTTTTTTTGTTTTTTTTTTTTGTTTTTAAAGATTTATTTATTTTATTGTGAGTACACTGTAGCTGTCTTCAGACACACCAGAAGAGGGCATCGGATCCCATTACAGATGGTTGTGAGCCACCATGTGGTTGCTGGGAATTGAACTCAGGACCTCTGGAAGAGCAGTCAGTGCTCTTAACCACTGAGCCATCTCTCCAGCCCGGGATCCAACATTCTTTTATCCTTCCCAGGTGCAAGCACATGCGTGCACAAACACACACACACACACACAAATTGTGTATGTACAGGCTTAGTCAGGGACAAAACCCATCACTTACTGGCTCCAAATATTTGAGTTAAAATGCTTTTCTGGTGGCTGCAGTCGATGTTGTACGGAGTCTCGCCAGCTTTGTTGGGCCTGTAAAGTAACCGCCCATCTTTGGGGTTCCTTAAAAGAAGTTCTGCCAGTCTCCGGCTCCTCCCTCGGATGGCAACATGCAGGGGAGTGTCACCTTTCTGTAAAATGACAACACAGGCTGAACTTGCTTGTTCTCAAAAGCAGCTCTGAGCCACACTTTTTATGCCTCTACAAAGCAGGCAATCTGGAGGTTTACATTTCTCATAAATGTGGTCTCCATATTCTTCTCGGTTCCTTTCCCTAGACCTGTACAAGTGTTTCTCAGAAATATCTCCTTACCACCCCCACCTCTGGCTTCTAGAATGCATTTTCTCTCCCTTCTGCTCACTTTTGTCATGCGTGCCTTCCAGGCCAGGATCTCCGCCTCAGCACCCTTGTGTCCACCAGAGCAATCACTGACCAAGCACATCGCAGCTTTCCTCAACCAGTCAGCGCTCTAGTTCACGGCTTTCTTCTACCAGCCTTCGTGCCAGTACTTGGCCATCACGATCAATCCCAGCAGCCCCTCCAGCCTTTGTCAAGCGCCCGCTGCTAAGGGTCAGTGATGTCACCCCTCTCCTCAGCACTACAGGAGCTCCCAGGCTCATCATCTTCCACTCCCTGCACTACCTGCCTCTTCCCTATGAGACTCTTCAGCCACAGGAGAAAACTAAGGAAACTCACACTTGTTTGCTCCTAAAAATTTAATTTTAATGTATGCATATGAGTAGTCTTGTAAAATATAGGTATACTGTGTTTTTTAAGCAATCAAACAAACAAACCAACCATGTCTCTCACAAGGCTGGGTACAAAGCAATCCCATGGACTGTCACTGCCCTCATCTCCCCTGCTGCAGCACATACTGGACACGGCCTTCCTGCTTTCCTGCTGTTCAGGAAGAAGCTTGAGGACACTTCCATGTGTCTACCTATCTTTTCGCTATGAACTCTCATTATAGGCCACAGAACCTCCTGAGCTTACTTTAAAGGTGGTTTTTTTTTTCCCATTTGATTCTCTCTTAACTTTTAAAAAGATATTGCCAACCCTTTTCTGGTTCTATTTACAGTCCAGTTGTTATCCCCCTCTCAGTCTGCCCTCTGACTATTCCTCATCCCATTCCTCCTCCCCCTTCTCCAAGATGTCCTCATCTTTCCCAACCCCATCCTACCAGGCCTCCCCACTCTGAGGTGCATCTTCTCTGAGCCCAGACCAGGCAGTCCTCTGCTGTCTATGTGTGAGGGGCCTCAGATCAGCTAGTAAATGTTGCCTGGTTGGTATCTCAGTGTCTGAGAGATCTTGGGGGTCCAAGTTAGTTGAGACTGCTTGTCTTCCTATGAGGTCACCTTCCTCCTCAGCTTCTTCCAGCCTTTCCCTAATTCAACCACAGCAATCCCAGGCTTCTGTCCACTGGTTGGGTGCAAGTATCTGCATCTGACTCCTTAAGCTGCTTGGAAAACTCAGAGTTGTGAAGGACCTCCCCAGTCTGCCTAGTGTCTACTTACTACCTCACCAACGTTCCCTTGAAGTAACGCTCCCTTAATGTAAAAGTTAGAAATTCACTCCCCAGCTCTCCTCTACACCGATCCCTCTGAGACACGAAGTGGAAGAGGCATGTCTGTCTTTCCCACGGCTCCTGAAGGCCCTTATCTAAGCTGCTCTTCTGCTTCCTGTCTAGTCCTCTCGAGGGTCTCTTTCTGTGTTATACATGGGTGCAATAACTACTGAACGAAGCCAACGTAAAGAACTTTATGTGCTGCGTTCACTGGAAGATACAAAGACAGAAAACAAAATGCTTCTGACTTTATGTAGCTGATGACAGAAAAGGAAAAATCTTCATGACCAAGAATAATTATAAAACCAACACCACGGTGCACACTCTAAGAGGCAAACTGACTGCTTTCACTGATCTTTACACTTCTGCCTTCATCACTCCCACCACTCCCACACCCTGCACTAACCCCATGTTCCCACCCCATCCTAGATGTCTTGCCAGAGTCTCATCTTTTACTTCCCTGGGTCTGCTGCTCACAGACCCCTGACGGTCTCTCAGTCCTCAGACTCAACATATCCTAACTACCCAACTCCATTCCACATTCTCAAGCCTGTGAGAAAACAAAATATCCTCAGCACACAAAATCTTCAAAAAACATATGCAAATTCACAAATGTGCTGAAAATAAACACAGAACAAGATCAAACATCTTGTTGCCCAGTTTATTTCTGTGACATGGTCTATGCAAAACCAGATTCAAGACTCACACAGGCACTAACAGACTAGCAGCACCTCAACAAAGGCGCCGTGCATGCACAGCGCTGCTCTTACCCTGTCCACAGCAGACACCCTAGCCCCCTTGTCCAGCAGCAGCTCCACCACTTCAATGTTTCTCATCTTGGTGGCCTTTATTAGTGGTGTCTCGCCATCCTGTGGGCACAGACAAGGTTTAAAGGACAGAGCTTTCCTTTTTACTTCAGTAAGTCCACATTTGAAATATTCTAAAGAAAACATAATAATTTACAAACTGACAAGGAGATGCTTTTCCCCTCCCAACCAGTGAATTGTACAGAAATAGCTTTATATTACTAAGGCACTTTAACCTTCTTATCAGAATTACAAATATACTTTCATATAGGACACTTGCACACAAGCTAACTACAACCACAGAAGTCTTGTACAGTTTCACGTGATTTGAGTAAAATTAAAATGCCTGATATGATGGCTCACATAGGTTGTCTAAAGCAAGTATGTTCAGCATTCCAAACAGAACATAAAGAACATAGGGCAGCAGCCTCTCCACGGTTTGTGACGAACTGGTAGTGTGCTTCCTGTCCCAGGCCATCGCCACTACAAGGCTGAGCTCACTCAGCTAACAGAACAAACCGTGCGCTGTACCTTCGTGCATATTTCCGTATCTGGATTGCACTGCAGGATATCCCTCACCATTGTCGCATTTCCCTTCTCAACAGCCCAGTACAGCGCCGTCTTGTTGTCCTGTAGAAGCAAAGAAACCATGTGAGATGCAGGACTAAAAACTGCTATTTGTGAATGCAAAGTGGGAATGCTTATACTGGTGGGAAGTACTACCAATCTTCATGGTATCTAGGATTTACTTCTGAGAAACTCTTTATGAAAGGATCCTAGAAAACTTTAGTCTTGCTTAAGTAAGACAGGAGTAAACCATAGCGTTGATAAGTTGTCTTCTGTTTCTGTGGTGCCTGATGGAGCTCAGGGCCTCCCACACTCTAAGCAGGCACTAGATCAGCGTGCCACATCTACAGCACTAAAATACACTGTGTAATGCAGTCAGACTTCAGGGAGATAAAACAGGTTACAAATCACCAATACCTGAACTCTGCTATGGATAAGACATTATTAAATATGCTGGCCCAGTGAAGACAGTGAGTAGGAATGTGTTTCTGACAGACACAGGCATTCTTTCTGTAATCTGATTCGCCTATATTTACCCTGGACCCTACACTGTCTTGAACAGCTCCTTCAGCAACCTACCTGGCTCAAAACCTAAGCCTTTGATTCACACAGACCTGGAAAGCAGAGCTTCCAAACATCAACTAAAAACTGATTAAAAACAGATGCACAAGACTGACAGCCACAGAGTTGTCAGTGGTCTGAAACAGGTCATCTAGGGACCATCCATTAGTGAAAATATGGCTTTTAACTGTGAACTGACTCCTATAGCTGCCACACTAGGTTTCCTGTGTCAACACTTCCCTAAGGGTTTGTGGGCAGCAGCCTATGACATGTGCATAAGCCACCCAGTGCAGTCAACAGGCCAAAGCTATGTGCAGAAGCTTAGAGACCAGAAATGGGAGTCAGCTCAGGGAGCTGGAGTTTAGGCCTCCCAGCATGGATGTCCCCTCCAAGAGCAGCGAGCTCCCTTAACCAGTTAACACCTCCAGCCCCTTGTTTCAGTTTTGAGATGGGTTTCACTACACATCCTAGAATGGTATAGAACTTTTTTACTTGTATCTGAGTTTAAGTGGACATTAATTCTGGAACTTTAGAATAGTGCTAGTAAAACATAACAACAGTACCACACAGCCAATGCATTAGGGCATACCTTTTTATCTCCACAGAAAGTAGGAACAACATCCTAACTACCTGACACACACATTCACGGTCACTGCAGTCTGAGCGCACACACCTGCCCTCTAATGTCTATGTCCGCATATTTTTGGAGAAGTGCCCGAACAATTTCAACGTGACCGCCTCTCACAGCGCCGATCAATACAGTGTCCCCACTCTAAAAGGACAAAAAGAAGGTCAGTCACTAAACAAATGATGTAGTTCTGAAATTAAGGTTACTCGTTTATTAATGTAATAGATTTGTTCTAAAAATCTCTTTGAAAAAGACTATCACTAAAGTAAGATTTTTAATTAACTGATAATATCTGATATTAGCAACCTTCTAAGACACAAAGGACATTAGTCTTTAGAATAAGGACTCATGAAATCCCATGATGGAAACTTAAAAAGATAAATTACTCAGGTGGAATCTAGTCTCTTTGAAGACTATTTTCCATCACACATATAATTGAAATCACAGGATACTGACAGTTCGGATGTTATATAATAAATCACCTACAAAGACTGCCATGTAATAAAAGCAACAGGCTCTTAAGTTGGAAGCATAGAGCTGGCATGCTGTTCTGACTCTAAAGGACAGCAGGGCTGGCTCCCAGACCAGTGTCTTTGGATACAGCCAGTGAGCAGTCACAGGCGAAAGGCATACAGGCTACTTCATCCTCCTGTACAGGAACTGTACCAAGTATAAGCACAGCTCCTCAGATGACACTCATCCAGTAACAGCCATTTTGAAGCACAGCTTCCCACTACTTCAAATACTAATTTTGCCATGGGCTCAGGTATCTTGTCATTTTATTGCTAAATTGCAGATCAGTTGTAGACTTCTGTGCTAAGTGAGCTGTTGCCTGCTTCCATTCTGAGGACCCTAACATACTGTAATAACTCAATTATCTCTTGAGAGTTCTAAGTCTAGCATTGTGGTGTAGTATTTTAGCTGCACCACAAACAGCATACATAGAGCCAAGGCAGACCAGTTATAGTTAGAATGTTAGCATCAGAGTGGGTGAGGACCCGTACACTGGTAAGTAAACCATTTCCTTGTTACAGTGTCCCAGGCACCATTCTAGGTCCTGGAAAACAAGATAAGGTCCCAGTTGTAAGCAAATTTACAGGCTAATAGAAGACAACATACAATTAAAATAAATAAACCAAAACAAACACTATGCAAATAGAATAGATAACTGATCAAAAGTACCTGAGGCGGCCCTTTGGACGGCAGAGCTAACTAAGGATGCCCTCTCCAGTTAGGAAGAGTAAGTAGAGGCAGAGTGACAAACCGGAGCCACCATGTGTAGGCAGCACTCTCCACTGAAAGCACAGCCAGTACACACAGCCGGTACACACAGCCGGTACACACAGCTGGTACACACAGCTGGTATACACAGCAGGACAAGATCATGTGCAAAGAAAAGAAGAGACTTAATAGGGCTGCCACCTTCTAAACAGGGGAGGATGGCACAAAATGAGGACAAGGGCTCAAGTAAGGACGCTGACATGCAGAGTCTGTATACTACAAATGTAGAACATATACAAAGTGCAAGAGTGAGCCTTGGGTGGCTTCAACGAAGGACTGCATGCACTCAGCAACAAGCAGAGGTAGAGCAGAGGCAACAGAGAGTCAGTTATGATCCATCTCAACAACAGGGGAGAGTTAGAGAGGCAATGGTGGTGATGAAGCCAGATAAAGGGCAAGTTTTACATCGAGTCAATAGAACTGCATGGGGTAGGGAAAGAAAAGGGAAAGCATCAGAGTGGGTAGTGGGCCCATCTGCTAAGACAGAGAAAATGGAGGAAAAATGGTTTGTAGTAGTAAAAAGACAAAACAATCCCACTGCCATTTTATTTTGCTATAAGTTTTTAAAAGCTCACTAAATATACATTCAAGTGGAGCGTTCTAAACACATATGTGAAACCTCAGAGAAGTCAGGCAAGAGAAAAAAACTTAAGAATAAAGGTCTACCTAAGTCCTGGGACAATGAGTAACATCAGCTATAAAAAACACCTATAGGGACACTCATCCAAGAGCTACAAATTAATCGCATGTGTGACATTTCCAGTAACAGAACAATCTGACAAAAATAAACAAGAACATTCTTTAACAAGACTGGAAATTTTAATTTATTAGTTTCAAAGGTAGGAATAAAACTTCTCTTAAAACAAGTTCATGTCAGCCGGGAAGTGGTGGTGCACACCTTTAATCCTAGCATTTGGGAGGCAGAGTTCTGAGTTCGAGGCCAGCCTGGTCTACAGAGTGAGTTCCAGGATAGCCAGGGCTACACAGGGAAACTCTATCTCCAAAAAAAAAAAAACAAAAAACAAAACAAAAAGAGTCCTGATGATAAGGAGTCACTAGCTAACTTTCTGCCTACTTCCCCACCACCGACAAATCTGAAGCAGGCCCCTACCCTGTCAGGTATGTTCACGTATGTTCCAGCGTCCAGCAGATCCTGCACAATCTCTATATGTCCCTCCTTCGATGCAATCATCAGGGCTGTGTTTCCATCCTTGTCAGTTAGGTTCACATTTGGATTCCTTTTCAAAATCTCTTTCACTGATTGTGTGTAGCCTCCCTTCACTGCCACAATAAGTGCAGTCATCGAATTCTTAGAAAGAAAAACAAAGAAATTACTGTGCTCTAGAAAACATATTATGCATACCATAATCAGAAAACTATTTTCAAACAGGTGAGCTATTTGCACTTGCTAGAGAGATGGTTCAGTGGTTAAAAACTTTTGCCGTTCTTGCAAAGGACCAGAGTTTGATTCCCAGCACCGACACTGGGTGACTCATAATCACCTGTGAGTAACTCCAGCTCCAGAGAATCCGACGCCCTCCTCCAGCCTCTGCAGGCCCCCACTCACATGCATGCATCCACAGGCAAACACAGGCACATACAGATAAGTTTTAAAATATAAATCACATTCTAACAGCTGGTGGTGCATTGAGCACGCTAGGTAAGGGCTCTCCCACTGTAACACTCCTTCAGTCACTACGAGTTATTTCTCATAGGGCCAGCAAGAAGGCTCAGGTGTAAAGACACTTGCTGCCAAGCCTGATGGCCTCCATTTGATCCTTACGATCCATGTGGTGGAGGGAGAATCAGCTCCCACAGGTTGTCCTCTGAGTGCCACATGTGTGCAGTGGCATACATGTGCCCTCTTCTAATATATAAATAAACAAATGTATTTAAATTTTTAAAGCTATTTCTGATACAATGCCAATATAACCAGATATTTGCCAAAAGCGGCTGGAGGCATATGTTCAGGTGTTTTAAAAATTGTTTTTTTACATTTGTTTCTTGTGTGCTCATTTAGGCATTTGCACCTGTGGAGATCAGATCAGTCTTACAAGTTCATGTTCTCTTTGCCTCACATGAGTCCCAAGGACAGAACTCAGGTCACCAGGCTTCATCCACTGAGCCCCTGAGCCATCGCGATTTTCAGTTTCTGAAGATACAGGACTTCTGTTATGTACTGTATGGATTATCTGGAGTTGAGCCCTTTGATGATGGCCTGCACTGGATCTACATGCAGGGAACAAACCCTTTCACTGATGTAACAAAGTTGAAAGACAGACTTAAAATTCAATACTTTCTAATTTAAATAACCCAAAGTAAAATGGATCAAACTTGAAACTAAGAATTTCTTATATAAAACATGTAGGGAAAAACCACAAACAATGAATTAAGAATTAGAGCATATCGTTTAATAAATGATCTTTAACAGTTCCTAAAAGCACATTAACATATTCTAAGTAGTCCTTTAAAATACTAGACATCTTCCTGACTTATTAAATAGAGTTCCTCATCATGGAATCATCACAATAGCCAGCCACTCATCTGCTTGATAACTCAGGGGAGGTCAGTGGACCTAGGACCCTGCTGTGGTTCCCGCAGGGAGAACAGTGCCTTGAAGGCCTGGACAAGCCACTTCCCCCATCATGGAAGAGAGAAACACAGATGCCACTGATCTAGGAAGTCAGATAGGAACTACAGTTTAACTTGGCTTCAGATGTCCAGATATTTGGTGGTATCTCCTCTCAGACTTCATCATGTGCTGTCTAACTTAATATAATAATACCAGTAGTAGTCTTTAGGACCTTAAACCTGCTTACTGCACACAAATAAAAGTTCCTGACACATTCCTGGAACCTTTAAGAAAAAGCTATTTCTGTGAGACTCTCATAGCTCTCCAGCACTCTTGGCAAGGATGAGATACACATCTGGTATCTTATCTAACTGGTAACTGACTAACTGGCAGTCAGTTAGATTCAACTCCATTTTTAACCTTCTTAACAGTTCACTTCTGACTTCTTCTGTCTGTTTATTGAGAGGAAAAAAATAACTTAAAGACCCCACCAAGTCTAACATCACCTTACATTGTTGAGGAAAAGGCATTTTAATGGAGCATGATGTCTGCCTATAATTACCAATTAAAAATTAGCTTGGCACAGTGGCATATAATGTTTGTCCTAGCACTAAGGAGGCAGAAACAGGAGGATCTCTGTGAGTTCAAGACCAGCTTGCTATAGTGAGACCCTATTTAAAAAAAAAAAAAAAAAAAGACAGGGTTTCAATTAAAAGGGGAAAACTACTTGATCTAAAGAATTTTTTAGCTTATAAGATTACTAAAAATTTATTTTTAATGGTTTTAGTTTCCCAAAATTTATGGATATTAGCAACAAATTCTCAAAGGCAAATATTCAGTACTTTAATATACATACATATATATATATATTTATATTTATATTTATATTTATATTTATATTTATATTTATATTTATATTTATATTTATATATAAATAATAGCATCATTATTTTCAAAGTTAGTAACACTTGAGAAATCTCAGCACTTGGGCCAGGCGATGATGGCACACGCCTTTAATCCCAGCACTTGGGAGGCAGACGCAGGCGGATTTCTGAGTTCGAGGCCAGCCTGGTCTACAGAGTTCCAGGACAGCCAGGACTACACAGAGAAACCCTGTCTCGAAAAAACAAAAAAAAAAAAAAGAAAAGAAAAAGAAATCACAGCACTTGGAAAGGCAGGAAGATTATGCACTCACTGAAAGCCTGGACCACACAGTGAAGTCCTATCTCCAAAAGAAATCATTTAAGATTTAAGTTATAAGAGAAATAATTTAAGAACTCCAGGGAATTTTTTCCTAGGTTTGTACTAGCTTAAAATATCCCCTTAAAGCACAAAGCTCACTGTGTAGAAGGCTAGGAGGACAGAGGTACTTACAGCTCCTTCTTGATCAACATCAGCTCCCATGGCCAGCAAATGCTTCACACACTCCAAATGACCCTTCCGGGCAGCCCAAACCAGAGGGGTGGTGCCATACTATCAAAACAGGTAACAAATTCAAAATTACTTTCAGTCATGTCCTAAAAGAAAGCAGCTCGAAATGAAGTTATATTTTGAGTATTCTTAGATAAGCATTTAGACCAATCATAATTTCAGTCCTAGATTAAAAACCTATTTCCCTCATCTTATTTGTCCGGAATAAATAGTTATTTTTGCATGAAATGTCTTTTGATGAACTGTATTTCACTTTATAATCAAGATAATCTTTCCACCACAGCCACACAGTCCCTAACTCTTACCAAGCACTCACTGCTTGCCACACTTTAGGATACAATGTAAAGCTGAACCGTCTAGAGCGGCCAAGGGTCGGCACAGCTCAGACAGCTCCACAGTCAGTCAAGGCGCGCAGTCTTCATCACAGAACGGACACAACGCACAGCATCACACTGTCACACAACAAACTGAGGCTCCAAAACAGGGTCAAAGTAACAAAGCGATCAAGAGGCAGAAAAGGCCAATCTTTAAACCCAGCAATCGAGAGACAGAGGTAGGCAGATCTCTGAGTCCAGCCTGGTCTACAGAGAGAATTTCAAGACAGCCAAACATACACAGAGAAACGCTGTTTTGAAAAACCAAAAACCCAAACTAAACCTAAACAAACAAACAAACAAACAAAATCCATGGATCCTCTAAGCTTTTAGGTCTGCACTTTTAACCATAACCCTAAATCAACTTGTACCTTTGATATCTTCAGCCCAGAAACTGTTCAAAAGCACCCTTCATGAAACATGATCAGAAAGCATCAAGAACTATAAATCACACATAAACGTAATGCTGCCCCTTGAGAAGTCTGCCAATCAATACACATGTAAATACCCACAGTGACCTTTATGAACAATAAAATTTGTACATGGCCATAAACATTTAATAAACCCTGGCAGTCTGTACAGTAGGGATAAAAAAAAAAATCCGGCTGGAGAGATGGCTCAGCAGTTAAAAGCACTGACTCCTCTTACAGCATCCTGAGTTCAATTTCCAGCAACCACATAGTGGCTCAAAATCATCTGTAATAGGATCCAATGCCCTCTTCTTGTGTGTCTGAAAAGATCAACACTGTACTCACATACATAAAATAAATTAAATCATTAAAAAAATCCCTATTATTCCACACTGCCCAATACAGTAAGAAGCCACTAGTGAATATGACTATAAATATATAAAATGTAGCTAGTATGTCTAAGAAACTGAATTTTTACTTTTACTTAATTTTAAATTAAATATAAATAGCTATATGTGATGTCTATGAATGACATCAAACATCTTCCAAACCATGCTCTTGGAGACTGTGCCCCACAGTGCCCTTGATAGATGGGTCCTCAGGACAGACTAACAAGGATATGAATACAGCAAGTGGGACTAGAAGCCTAACAAAAGGAGAAGGGTGTGAAGGAGAACAATATTCTTGGTCACTGGCTCAGAACAGGCTTAATGAAATGGGAACCCTACAGCTCATCAAGACATCCTTGATTTTATGAACTGGACATAAGCTCTCATCCCTTGAGCATCTATCGGATTTGTTGCTTCCTGAGTGAGATATTGGTATATAAGAGTACATGCTAGAAAGTCTGTTCTTTCTCTTTCTGGCCAGCTTACCCTAAGGAGAGCTAATCTCGTTTATATCATTACAAATAACTCTTGCTATGTGGTAGGAACTTCCTTACCTTGCTGTCTACTTCAAGGGCTCCTCAGTTAGTGTTCAACCACCTCAGTAACTAGCTCTACTTTTTCTCAAGTTCAAATTCTGGTCTTTCCAACTAAATGAAACCCTTTTATGTATATACTTCCCACAGTCTCAGCACACAGTCCAGACAGGCTGTCATCTGGTGATCCTCCTGAGGGCTAGGAATATCCATCTATGTCGCTTCTCCTGCACTCCAGATCCTGCTTCATCAGGACATTACTCAACCGTTTCCTCCCCACCACATCCTTTCCTCCTGCTCCTCCATTTCTGTTAGGTCTCTATTTCACGTCCTGGCAATTTAGCCTTTCCTTGCCTAACCCACTTTCTACCAGCCTTTCCTCTTAAGAGCCGATCACTGCCCTTCCTTCCATACCTCAGATGTACCTTACAGTCCTTATCTCCAATCTCCACACCACCAGCTTTAGATTCTATGCACAGGAGAAAGAACTGAACCTGAATTGTAAGACTGCTATCACACAAACACAGCATGCAAGACAAAAAACAGGAAGAAGAGTTACAATAGAAAACTTCAAACAGTAAAGACATGAGTTCATTAGCTCTGTCTTTTTTGAGAATAATTTAATGTAACAAATATGGAGATCACTTGGTCCATAACACAAATAAAAGACCCATCTATAACCTGTGAATACACAGGTAAAAATGCTGAAATACAAAAATAAGATACATTAGAGATGTTTCAAATGAAACTATTTATAACCTGGGCACTCTTAAGTGACCATAGCACAAGGAGAACCTGGGCGGACGCTGTGACTCACCTTGTCAGAGCAATTGACTTTCGCACCATTCTGCAGCAGAAGATGCACTATGTCGGCATGGCCTCTGCCTGCTGCCCAAATGATTGGGTAGACACTGTACTGTTGGGATCCACAGGGACGCACGAGGACGGGGGAAGAGGACAGTCTTTAGATGGTCATTTACAACATAAATTCACTAAGTAAGTAGCAACAGTTGTAACACAAAGTAATGGTTTTTAAATCAAGTTAGAGACCATTCTCCATTTTAAAACACAAATACTCATAATATATAACTGACACTAAGATGTGTTAAGCCTTAATAATACATATATTATTAACACATTTCCTTTTGCAGAGTTAACTTATTTAATGTGATTATCTAGCCAAAAGGAGAGATTAATAAGTAGAATAAAAGTAAGAAGTTTAGAAATGTACACAATGCACAGAAAAATAAAGCAAGTAGAAAAATGATACGGGCCGGGCGGTGGTGGCGCACGCCTTTAATCCCAGCACTTGGGAGGCAGAGGCAGGCGGATTTCTGAGTTTGAGAGTTCGAGGCTAGCCTGGTCTACAGAGTGAGTTCCAGGACAGCCAGGACTACACAGAGAAAACCCTGTCTCGAAAAAAAAAAAAAAAAAAAGAAAAATGATACGGCTTCTTGGTAAATGTGTTTTCAAGAAACACAGAGTGAGAATGCACAGGTAAGGTAACTAAGAAATTCACACTCTCCTTTGAAAATGTTATACAATTATGGCTAACATTTGCATTCAAAAACTTGCTTTTCATTGGAACATGAAAAAAAGACACCGTACAAAATTCTCATTGTCTTAAAATTCTCACTGGGTCTTAAAATAGCATTCTATAGGACAGTCAGTATGATCTGAAAAATCTCTATTCACTATGAAGTATAAAAAGCCTGCAGCATTCTGTAAGACAACTTACCATTCACATTAAAAATTCAGTTTTTGTTAGTGCTTACCAAACCAGTGACACTTGGGTTGGCACCATGAGACAGAAGCAACTCGACAACCTCCGTCCTGCCTTTGTAGCATGCCCACATGAGAGCTGTCCATCCCCCCTAGAGAACAAAAAGGGCATGTAAAACTCTATCATCCCCAAGCAAGTTACAATTTTAATCAGGCTCCCTCTATGTGCATCTCTGTAATACTACCATTTTATAACAATCATAGTCTTAAATTCTTAAGCTCCTCAGAAATACGTAATTGAACATGAAGTGAATAAACTCTGCTAAGTCTACAAGAGATCAGGGCAAAGTCTGTACAATCACAGGTTAGACTAGAAATGTCCATGCTGCTAAGAGTCACTGTGGCTGCTTACAGTCATAGCACTCAGAAAGTAAGGAGAAGCAGGGAAGGAGGCAGGGGCCTACTATTTGGGGGCACTTTACATCCAAGCTAAGTACAGTAGTATCTCCCTAGGTTTGAAACATAAGATCATGGAAGTAAAATTGCTGTGTGGCCCAATCTACTGAAAGACAGACAGAAAGCTGCAGTGTCTTTAAAACGTACCCCCTGAGCACTCTGCGAACCTGTCAGCTGAGGGATGGGATGTGTGCTTACTGTGCCACGGAGGATGATTCCCTTCCTTGCTTGGACTGCTAAAATTGACTTCCTAAAAAGTCAAACAGCTTACAGAATAATACAGAAATGTTCCTTTTTCTCACTCTTATGCCCTTCCCAGATCATGACCAAACAGGAGGTATGTGGTAACTACAGAGCACATCCTCTGAGACATGCAGTGCTCAAGGACAGCAGCCTGGACAAATGGCATTTATAAATAAATCTACTAACATTCCAAAGCCTATAACTTACCCAAAACATTTAAATTATCTGATGTATCTTTTAAATCCAATCCAAATGAAATAAGTTTTCTTGAAAGTACTAAGTTAAGAATTATAAAAAAAAAATGAGCTGAGAACTTTTAATTCTGAGATAAACTGAAGAAATGACTATTCTAAACAACAGACACTGTAACACCAGTGTTTAAAATGTTTTTGAGTCATTCCAACATCCAACCCCAAGTCATAAAACACTAAAAGACCTTATCTTACAAAATAAAGTAAGAGACAAGGTTTCCTGTGCCTCTGTTACTGTTAGTAACTTTCAGCTAACTGATGACACCCTGCAGAAGCAGAAGGGCACAGACCATGTCCCGGTGCTCCAGGCTGGCTCCGTTCTTCAGCAGCTCCTCCACAATGTGGACGTGCCCCTCTTTAGATGCCGATATAAGTGCAGTCCAGTTATCCTTGAAAAGCATTCAAAATGGCATGGTTTAAATAAATAAAATAAATACATTAAATAAAGCACAGCATTCCAAAGGGAGAATGCACCTCAATTTACAGCCCAAATGATCTTCCAACTGATACCACTTTAACCTCTGTGGAACAAAGCGGAAGCTGCCTGAAGATGTCTCGTGCCTATGTCACCTGCCTTCCTGTCAGGACTATCAGTGCAGAGAACAGCACCACAGCTGCTTGTCCAGGGTCGCCCCGGACCTCTCTCACATTCCATTTTTTAGAAAAAAAGAGAAGCAGCTACCAAAAACCCTCAAGGGTTATCCCAAAGCTAACAACTGTTCCACAAATTAAAGAGTCTGCAATCTGCCATGAGGACACACTCACACACTCACACAGAATTGCAGTACAGCTGCAAGTGGGCACATTAGAAAGACTATGACAAAGAACTATGGGAACAGAATTGTCCTAACTTTAGTTAAGGAGTGAATTCATTCAAATGATCACACCAGGGGCAGTGGCACACGGTCACACCAGGGGTGGTGCACACACTTTTAACCGCAGCACTGGAGAGGCAGAGGGAGGTCTACACAATGAGACTCTATCTTTAAAAAATAAAAATCCAAACGGTCACTAAAGCAGAAGAACGTAGCCAAGAGCTTCTGAAAGTGACTCTGAGAACACTGGGAACTCAAAGGAGACTGGATGGTGATTTGTCCCTCAGAAGCAGTGTCAGAGGGGACCATTACTGGGACCATTACCAAGGAACACTACAAGTTATAATTACAGAGAATCACTTAACAGCATAGCTCATACATGGAAATACTTCCACAGATATGAGCTTCAGGGGTGCCATGAACATAGGAAAAACATGAGGTGCTGAAATATTCGGTTATAAGTAAAAAAAAAAAAAATCTCTCCTGATTAAAAAGGCAAACAAACAAAAAAATAATAACAACAAAAAAACCCTGTAGCACATTAGGCAAATGTGAGATATATTTCAAAGCACTTTTTAAAATACTTATTTGTTTACTTATCTATTTTGAGACAATGGCTCACTATGCTGCACTGGCTAGCCTGGAATTCTGTGTATATCAGGCTGGCCTGGAACTCAGAAACCTGCCTGCTTCTGCCTCCTGAGTGCAGGGACTGGGATTAAAGGCGTAAACTACTACATTCAGCCCTCAGAGTTCAACTTTTCATCATTATTCTTTAAACATTTTCTATGAACAAATTAAAGGAAAGCAAGACGAGTGAGCAAATGATGTCATGCGTACCAGATCTTCCAGGTTACAGTTGGCTCCATTCTTAATCAGTTCTTTCACTATTTCCACATTGCCCTGTTCAGCAGCTATCATCAACGGCGTCTGGCCACACTGGAGGACAAACAGGACAGCAAGCTTAGCAACATGGTGTGCTAATCTCACGACGACACTGCTTGGCGGTGCGTTTACCTTTCCACAAAGGTTGCAAAGCACTGCTGTGTTTCCTGTATCTCTTTACTCTAGCAACAGCTTTAAACCTATAGGTTTGGTTTACTGATGATTTAAAGGTCATAAGCTCGTTAGGGTATATAGCTTGCTAATGGGCACTTGCCTCAAACGTACAGGGTCCTGTGTTCAACTTCCATAAAAAATGAATATCAAAGCCATTAAAAATGTAACCCTCCCATAATAATAGTAATATCTTTTAGGGACTCTGAATTCATTCAGAATCAGTAAACACTCATAGTACCAGGATCTGGCAAACAATTACCACAACATACACAAAATCTCACAATACCTACGGTGGCCTAATTTTCCAGACAGAATATGCTATAGAATGACATTTTAATTATACATGTTTTATCTCAGACAGAGACAGAGAGGATAAAAATTACACATAATGACCTGCACATACAGATTAAGCCTTCTCTCATAACCTTAACTCATGAAGTATATTTTCCACCTTCTAAAAGTGAATGCAGAGATAGAGAGCTTCCTTGTCCAGAAAACAGGGGGCAGGGCCTGAGCCGATGGATCTGAGACAGAGCTCCAGCAGCACCATGCCCCGTCTACTGCAAGCACAGAACAAATGTGTTCTTTCCACAGGTGTCAATCAAGACATGGACAGACTAGGAGGCACCAAATTAAGCCATCAGCCAGTGAACAGCTAACACTAGAGGCAAAAAAGTAAACAAAGGGAAAGTTCACACCAAAAATTAACCTCAACTGTATAAACATGCATGCATCTACCTACTCTGCAGTGATGCGAGGGGAAAGATCTGTGACTTGACTTCTTAAATTATTTATCTTGTGCATATTGGGTGTTTTACATGTGTGCTTATCTATGCACCACATGTGTGCCCAGTGTCCACGGAGGCTAGAGAAGGACATAAGACCATCAGAAGCTCTGTAATTGAAACTCCAAGTGGTTGTACGCCATCATGTGCGTGCCAGGAACTGAACCTGAGTCCTCTGGAAGAACAACCAATGCTCTGACCTGCTGAGCCAACTCTCTAGTCCATGTGGTTTTACCGTGTGTGTGTGTGTGTGTGTGTGTGTGTGTGTGTGTGTGTGTTTGTATGCGTGTACACACATGCACGCACATGTATGAGTACACATGGAAGCCAGAGGATGACCTCAGGTGTCATTCTCAGGAACACCAACCACCTCCCTTGAGTCAGGGTCTCTCTCTCCCTGGCCTGGAGCTCACCTATTAGGCTAGACCAGCTGGCCAGTGAATCCTAAGGATCCTTCTTTCTCTGCCTCCCCAACACTGGGCAAGTGTGCCACTGTGTTCTACGTTTTCCAAAACTAACTTTTATTTATTTATCCTGTGTTCTAAGTGGCGTGTGGTGATTAGAGTGTAAGTTTTGGGAGTCGGTTCTCTCCCTCCACCATGTGGGTCCCTGGGATTGAACTTAGGTTGTCAGGCTTGATGACATGCACCTTTGCCTGGCTTTTTAATGGGTTCTAGAGATCAAACTGACTGAGTTATCTCTCCAGGGCAGTTTGGTTATTTTATGCCAAACTGACATCCCTGTGCTTCAAACCCTCAGTGTTTTCCTGTAATCTCTGAGACAACAACCTGAATCTTTACCAACGCTCCAAAGACAGAGAAGACGAGGTCAGCTCCACCTCTCCCCTCACCTCTATCACCCCCATGGCCGGCCTCATGGACCTTTCCTCCTCCTCCTTACGCATTTAACCCTCAATCACTGTATCATTTATAACTCTATTCATATTTGTAGGACTAGAAGCTGATTTTAAAAATACTTTTTAGCAGTATGTGTATAGGCACTTGCCTACTTTTATATCCGTGTATCATATGTCTGCAGTGCCCACGAAGGCCAGAAGAGTGCATCAGTTTCCCTGAGATGGGAGTCACAGACAGTTGTGAGGCAACAAGTGTGAGCTGGGAACTGAACCTGAGTCCTCTGGAAGAGCAGCCAATGACCTTAACCACTTCTCCAGCTTCTCCCAGCTGATTTTTATACGTGGTCCCCAAAGTTCCGAAAACTCCGTAAAGATAGAACACATGCCTACTATGTTTTTGTACTTACTTGTTGACTAAATGAATGAGTGGACAAAAATATCAAAGAAGCAGGGCCGTAGTGGCGCACGCCTTTAATCCCAGCACTTGGGAGGCAGAGGCAGGTGGATTTCTGAGTTCGAGGCCAGCCTGGTCTACAGAGTGAGTTCCAGGACAGCCAGAACTACACAGAGAAACCCTGTCTCGAAAAACCAAAAAAAAAAAAAAAAAAAAAACAAAGAATTTAAAAATCTATTAGAAACAACAACAGCCAAATAAGCAAATAATTATAATTGGCAAACTTTAACAAATGCTATTATAAGGATAATCAAGTAAAGAATTAAGCATAAATACTGGTGTAAAAGAAGTAGAAAGTAAATCATATAAACACTGGCATTTTTATGGTGATGACATTAAATTATACGTGTGGCCATATCACTCAGTAAAGACTGAGGTACCATGCATGAATGGATCAAGTGGAAAAGTCTTATCATTTGAGCATTAAATTTGTTAACTGACCATTCTAAAAAGAAATGTACAAAATGAGCTCACAGAAACTGTAGCAGTATACACAAGACCTGGACAGGTTCAAGCCAGATGGGGGTCCCAGAACTGAGAGGTCAAAGTAGACACAGTTTCTACATCTAACTAAGAAGTCACCACCAGCTGGTACCAACTTGGCAAAGGGAAAACCAGTTTTTTCCAATAGAGCGTCTGTAAGTGTTTCTGCTCCGATGAAAGGGTATCCTGGGACTTGGACACCCAGGAACCACACAGCTTTGAGGTGGGACAGTGTCCCAAGGGATGCGTATCCTGAGACACAGGAGCTCAGGAACTTTACAACTCTGAGACTGCCTCCTTCGCAGAAGCGGTGCAGCTCCCAGGGGAGGGTATCCCCAGCTGAGCTGAGGAGCTAAGCTTTCTGTGCTGTCTTCTCTTCTTTGCTGCTTTTCTTCTCAGCTTCTTCCAACAGAGTCACTCCAGGCAGTAAATCTTATAAAGGAGATTTACTGAAAGGAATAATCCAAGAGGAGGGAGGAATCCAGAAGTGGTTGTTGGAACAGAAATACTTACAGTGTCACTGAGCATACAGACCACATTCCAGGGCAGGCCCCAGGCTCAGGAGTAATTGGCAACACAAAATTAACTCAAAGGTATTTCTGAGAACTTTTTGTTTAACTTTGCTTTGCTCTGGAATTTTGTTGTTGTTGTATTGGCTTTTTGTCTATTTGCCTTGTCTTGTTTTTGTGGGGTTTTGTTTGTTTCTTGGGGAGGTTGTTTGTTTGTTGCTTCTTGTTTTAAAAGAGAAAAAGCAGGAGAAAGAAGATAAAGTTGAGTGAATAGGAAGGTGGAGAGGCTCTGGGAGACGGTGAGAAAAGGGAAACACAATCAAAAACACTGTAGAAAAACTACTCATGAAGAAGCAAGTCGTCGGGCGGTGGTGGCGCAAGCCTTTAATCCCAGCACTTGGGAGGCAGAGGCAGGCGGATTTGAGTTTGAGGCCAGCCTGGTCTACAAAGTGAGTTCCAGGACAGCCAGAGCTACACAGAGAAACTCTGTCTCGAAAAACCAAAAAAAAAAAAAAAAAGAAAGAAAAAAAAAAGAAGAAGAAGAAGCAAGCCACATCACTGTTTGCTACGCAAATTAACTTAAACATTGCGTGTATGATTCTGAGTCAGACGACAGCATCAGTTACTATGCCGCACACACCTCGGTCAGCTATAAATTTTTGGCATATTTACTATAGCATCCCTCTTCTAATCTATCCAGATTAAAGGCTCACATCAAGTATCACTGGTATAACACAGAAAAATTTACAGCCAAGAACCTGAATCCAAGTCCCCAAGGATGTATAAATTTTACATAGTAGTTTTCAAAACAAAAAACAAACACTCAGAATAATTTTCTCAGAAGAACTCTGGCATAACAGCTACACAGTAGCTCATAGTCCATGAAGTGGAATTTTAAAATGTACATAAATACCTGCAAAACAAATAAAAAGGAGGGTTTTCACTCAGTTAACTGGAACTGCCTGCTGTGAGAAACTTAGGCATACTTTCTCTCACATAAATTAGCAGCTGTCCCTACTGTCCACAGGGACAGGATTTCATTAGGAGTGGCTCCAAGCTCAACTAAAAAGCCCCAAATCATGACTGCTGCTGTGACACTATCATATCGCCCAGTCTCTCAGGTAAGCTTTTCTCTTTTCTCTTCTTGTCCAGTCTTCAGGCAGAATGCTGGAGTTGTATTAAGATGGAGGAAGTGAAGAAATTGGCATTTAGTCACACATGCCCAAAAAACAAAAGAGAGCCTGGGTCCTCAGGGTGTCCTGAAGTTACCCTTGCTGACTTAGAAAGGTTCTTCTAACTCAACATGTGAGAAAAAATAAACTCTCACTTACCTAAACTTCAAAGCCACACTAGCTAGAAAGTTTCAGGAAAGGCTGCCATGGAGTTTTATTAGATTTCTAAAGATAGAAGAGTTACCTTGTAAACTGAATCTTAAAGGCTATTTATAGATTCTGCTACTTCCTGTTCTACCAACCCAGCAAACGCAGCTATAGAGATAAAAAATAACTTTCTATCATGAGAACTTCATGCATCACTAAGTCTCTTTCGTACGAAGGCTTACATACTCCACCAGATCCCAAGTCCTCTGCTTTCTAAAATCAAAAGGATTAAAAACTCACTAGCCCTTCATTAGTACTTGAATGTATCCCTCAAAATTCACACGTTGGAAATTCAATACAACATTATTGAGTGGCAGGGACTTGAGGAGGCAACAGATCACGGGAGCACAGGCCTTCTGGATAGGTGAGTGTCATTCATGTGGGAGTGGTTAGTAGTTGTAGCAATGAGATGAAAGCAGAGTTTGTCTCCCTCCCTTCTAATTTTTTTTCACATCCTCTCTCACATACAGGTTGTCTTCTGCCATGTTGTGATGCAGCAAGAAGGCTGTCACCAAATGCCAGCTTTTCTTCTTGGACTTCCTAACCTCTAGAACTATATAAGAAGACATTACCCAGCCTATGAAACTCCATTACAAACGCACATAAGCTGACTATGACACCTCTCCTCTATACTTACTGTGATCTCAGGCCCAAACACACCAAACCAAACCAGACAAAACCAAACACCACTACCAGCTGAATTTTTTCTCAAGGGGTGTCCTCCTCTCAGCTCTCCCACAAGGCTGCAATGCAAACCCACCTACATACAATTCAATGGTTTTTCTTCTAACTCCCAGGAACTCATTTCTGTTTTTTTGTTTTTTTTTAATATGAATCAGACCTACAGAATCACTGCCCTTAAAGACATCATCTCAGTGACTGTATTCTTCCAATAATGGCAGTAAAACCATTATTGACATTCTCTCATTGAAACCCCCTTTGGAGTGTTTGTAAACACATACAAAGTCTATCTCTTAAAGTCTTGCTTCATTTTTTTAAGAAAGTGAAATGAGGGGCTGGAGAGATGGCTCAGCGGTTAAGGACTGCTCTTCCAGAGGTCCTGAGTTCAAGTCCCAGCAACCACATGGTGGCTCACAACCATCTGCAATGGGATCCGATGCCCTCTTCTGGTGTGTCTGAAGACAGCTACAGTGTACTCATATACATTAGATAGATAGATAGATAGATAGATAGATAGATAGATAGATAGACAGACAGATCTTTAAAAACAAAACACAGACTGAAATACTTTCAACAGGAAGGCACGTCATGATTCTGTCCGCTGGAGCAGGGGAAACCACCTGCCTCTCCCCCCTTCACCCACAGCACAGCGCCGTGTACGGAGAGCAGTCCGTACATCCGTGAGAGTTCCGTCTCAGCCTCACCTCATTCCTCTCATCCACATCTTTGCACTTCTCAAGAAGAGCTTTCAGGGCAGGAATATTCTCTTCTTCCACATAGTTTATCACACTCTGTGATATAAGAACCGACATTTTCACAGAAATCTAAGGCCGACTTTAATTCACCTGTAAAAACAAGTTAGACAAAGTGTACATTCTGGTTAGAAATAAACTAAGTTGTTATCAAATATACTTCAGTTTTACCTTAAATGTGTTCAGACACACGTCCAATGATACAAATATTCTAAAAATCCCCACACCCCAACTGTCAAAATGCTGACAAGATGTCCTTTCCCAGACTCACAATGCATATTTAAGTTAATCCATCCAAAACCCAAGCCAGATGCACCCAAGCTTCACCACCGTTACCCCCACACAGGGAAGTGGTGCTATGCCTGCTACTAATCCACATCTCAGATCACAGTAGCTCCAGATCCTGGATCCTCCAGCTCCTAGGTAATTCTAGACTTAGAATTACCTGTGACTTAGCCCTCCTCGCCTGATACTGAAGTCAGTATATAGCCTAATCTAATGTAGCAAGCCCTTCTGGCTCTCGTAGCTACTGCTCGCTGCCCCCATCACTCCCAGCCCAGGACAAGCCATTCTGATGTGTCTCGCAGCTTCCTAACTTCGACTCAGGCTCTCTGGCCTCTCTGTCTACAATGCACCCACAGTGAGATTGTAAATGAGCTGGGAGATACTGCAGGAGTGTGGCAATGGACAGAGAAGGGGGAATGGTTCAACAGTACAAAGTCTTAGTCAGACCAGGGCAAAAGGTTCTGTAGTCTGTATCTTTGATTTATCAATAATATACCCTGGTTTTTTAAGTAGCCTAGGGGGTCAATTTTAAATGTTCTCATGTCAAAGAAATGATAAGGATATGAGGAGATGAACAAGTTAATTAGCCTGAGTTAACTGTTCCATAATACATACACACATGGAAACACCAGACCACAACATATAAGTATATAAAATTAGTATGTATCAATCAAAAATAGAACAGACCCTTTAGGCATGCATGCATCAGAATCATTGGTAGGCTTAAAGCACAGCTCCTTGGGCCGTCCTCTCAGAGCCTCTGACGCAGTAGGTCTGGGTGAGGGTCCCTGAATCTGCGTCTTTGACCAGCATGCAGACGACTGACGCTGTTGCTGAAATGTGTACTGGAACCTTACTGATGTGTACTGGAACCTTACTGATGTG